GGGTTTGAACCGCCAGCCTTCTGGTTAGCAGTCAAGTGCTTTAGCCACTATGCTACCAGAGCTCCCCAAATAAACAGGCTTAAACGCGACCATTTTAAACTTGAGGCCTTCTTAGCAACATGTGTTTGATGATTTTGGTTTGTACATTTCCCAGAGAGGGGAGGACACACTGGAAGAGGTACCTACAGGGAAGGGAGTGGGAAGAGAGCTGTTACATTGTGGGGAATTGCAGTGTCATGAAACAAAATGTCTGTGAACTGCTGTATGGAAAATGAATTTGCTCTATAAACTTTCACTCAAATCACAATAAAATTTTTTGTAAAAAATGTTCATTGGTGAGCAGTTGTAACCCAAATTCCGCTTCACTCTGTTACTTACATGTCTCTAAGAGGATGAACTGCTCCCTCCAGGGAGTGTTTTTGAACTCCTTCCTCCTGGGAATCTGTAGATTACACGGATTCTTCTCTTGCAGGCGATTATTTGCCAGATGACTGGGCCATGGAAGAACCCGAGTAGTAATCAGTTTATTAATAGGGTAGAGGGTGAGACCACAGCCAGTAGCGCAGATCATCAACTCAGTTGGGCACTGGGCGAAAGTGCCCTGCGGTTCGGTTTTCAAATGGGAAGTCATTGCCTAGGGGACCGGCCACTTAGGCAGCAGGACCACCACCATTCAGGAAAGCATTGCTGGACCAGCACCCGGTCATCACGCCTCACCACAGAAATGCAAGCTCGTCGGCGCACCCCCTTCACAGCCCTGGGTAAACAGTGCCAAGTTCTGTCCAGCTCCAGGGTTCTGGTGTTGCATGATGACTAGGCTGTCCTCACCATTCGTTCAAGCCTTGTTTGCCCTGGACTTGCCCTGTAAGATGCAGATACCTGTTGTCATGTCTTATACATTCATTTGACGGATGGGAAGTACTGAAAGGAAGTCTGGTATTTTCTCTAAGTATAGGCCTGTACCTATTGGATTGGTACCTTTTTCAACCGGCAGCCGTTCTCAGAAGAGCCTTTGTCAGGGTGGTGAGTAACTGGTTGTGTGTGGTGTGAACGAACCTGTAATTGTGTTTGAACCTTGACCGCAAGGGACAGCATACCCGCGTGTCTTGATGGGGCATTGGGCCTCACAGTCGCGATAATGTGTCCAGTGCCATCTGACTCCTGGGGCAGGTGAAAGTGAGCCAGTCTGGGTCATCTTAGCCACGTGACTGAGTCTCTGTTAGCTGGCCGCCTCTTTGATTCGTGCTCTTCCTGATGACCTTCCACCCCACCGCTGCTGTTCTTTGCCGTGTGTGTATCCACACAGGACCTTGCACGCGGTCACTCCGCTCTTGGATGTGCCTGAATAAGCGACCATGCTCAGGGAAAGCTGGCGACCACCCTGCTTTGCATAACACCTGGAGCTTGATGTTCTTGCTTCTCCCGAAAGTGACAAAGGCAACAGTGAGGCGCCGACAGGGTGCTCGTTCTCCCTTCAAGCAGGATGACGGGATTTGGGGTTTGTTTTGCCATACAGAAATGAGATGGATAGTGGTTCATTTGGTTTTTGTTTTCTGTTTTAAATTGAGGATTGGTGACATGCACTCATGTTGCGTGTTCCCCTGTGGTAGCAGATACCTTTAGCATGAAAGCCTGGTTTCTGATCAAGGATAGTAAAGCTGACCGGGCATCTCATGATACATGTGGGCGGCTGGAGTGACCAATGTGCAGTCAGGAGATGCTTCCAGGGTACGGAGCTGTGGCCACCAGGGCGGGCTTGCACATCAGGTCGCTGCAAACATACACACATCCAGCGACGCCCTTCAGCCAAAAATACGAGTTGTATTCAGGACATTTCACTCACAGCTATGGTACTCATGTTGCTGCTGTTTGTTTGCTGGTTTGTTTTAAACCAAAGAAGGGGGCTCTTGATGTTTTCATTCATTACCCTTGTCTTTTTCACTCCTTTCTCTGAAGACTCCCTTGGAGAAATGAACAATACTACTGCTAAATCCTCCCACAGATACGGGCCGTCCTATTGCAGAAGGGTCAACCTTCGGACCGGGAACTGTCCTAGCGCTTCCCTCCTCTCACTGTTCCTTTTCCTGGGAGTCTGCCTCTTGAATAAAACCACCTTAAACTCAGATAAGCGTTAACTTCAGCGTTCATAGAAGAACATTAGTGTATGCCAGCACGTGGGTGCTACCCAATCCACAGGTCATCTCCTTGGCTGTTTTGTTCCTAGTGAGGTACAGTGGGGACGTACTATTCCCAGTAAACTCTAAATTATCGAGGAAAAGATCTTTGTGTCAGGGTACAGTTAATTCAAAGTATCACAAAACATTTTAATGTGAAAAACATGCATCTATATATTTTTAAATTCATTAAATTTTTCTTCTGTGTAGCAGAATCTTAGATCTTTTGCTTGCATTCTAATGGGAATATCAGTGAAGCTTTGTGACTTTGTGACCTCCGAAGACCAAACCCACTGCAGGTGGAGTCGATTCTGCCCCACTGAGTTTCCAAGACTATAATCTTTACAAAAGCTCTGATGGTGCAGGGGTTAAAGCATTGGGCTGCTAACTGAAAGGTTGATGGTTCAAACCCACCAGCCACTCTACAGGAGAAATATGAGCAATCTGCTTCTGTAAACATGTACAGCGTTGGAAACTGTAGGAGGCATTTCCACTCTGTCCTGTAGGGTCGCTGTGAGTCAGAGTCGACTCAATGGCAGTAGGTTTGGTTTGGGGTCCTAATCTTTACAGGAGCAGACTGCCACATCTTTCTTCCACAGAGCTGCTGGTGGGTTCAGACCACCGACCTTTGGTTAGCAGCTGAGCACTTACCCACTGCACCAATAGGGCACCCCCAAAAAACAACCATATTATTTCTTCATTCAATAAGAGGTGACATTTCTATCTAGCAATAGGGTAAAAGAATATGCTTAATACCCATTTTGCAGTTTAGACTCTCTTTGAAATCTCTAAGATTCTGCCGTGCTTTGCTCTGCATTTAGCACAAAGCCAATCAAAACACAAGGAGTGTTAGGGCTGTGGTCACTGCATTTTCAGGTCTCCATTGGAGATCCCACGTGTGTTGCGTTTGAGCCTGGGGGAGAGACTGGCCAGAGCCAGCCTCTTCCAGCCATCACTCCCAACCAGAACATCTGTCTTCCCTGCTACCAGCACTGGTCTGAGGTTTAAGAAATACACATTAGTCGTTTTTTTTTAGCATGTTGACAACCTTTAAGCAGATTCTTAATAGAAATGTACCCTTGGTTTTCATCCACAGTTTGACACAAAAATCAAACTGGAAACTTAAAACTGAGTATAAGATCATAAAAAATATTTTTCAGTATTTTTTCACATTTTCCTATTTTTAAAATCAGTTCATTTTTCAGATAAAAGTATATAGGTGCTATAAAAGGAAGGACAAAATATTTGCTTGAGAAATCTAGGGAAAAGTTTATTTTTGATGACATTTGGCAAACTGGATTTTGTGATGTATTCCCTGTAATCTACCAGTTCTGAAATTCACGATTTTTCATTAAAATTGATTAGATGTCAATTGGTTTGTGGCTTTCTTAGAACTTAGAGAATGAAATATGGTGTTACGCAGGGGTTATTAAACTTTAAATTCTTCATTTAAAAGTTTTCTTTGGGGTCATTAGGTAATATTTCATAGATCTAATTTTTATTATGCAGTTAGCCATCAATAAAGCTACTTAAAATGTGTTACAAATGAAATAAGTCTCTCCAAATAACTCCATCTTTTCTTAAAATAATTTTTGTTACTGTTAAAAAAAAATAGTCAGGCAAGCTGACATTTCTGTTTCTTCTTTACTAATAAGTCTTAACATACAAGCCAACAATGTTTGCTTACTTAGTAGGTACTATGTGAATGTATTTAAACAACGAATACTTAGTTTGATTTATCAAATTAAGATGCTTGGCTAACTGTATACAAAAGTGCACTGACTAAACTTGGGAGCTCCCCAAACAAGCTAAAGCCACAGGGTCATTTTCTTTTCCTGAGTTCGGTGTTGCCAGGTAATGTGCCCCCAGTTCAGTTTTGAAATGAAGGTGTGTGGTGAAGCCTAATTGTACCTTCTCTGGATTTCCTTGGGCTGCCTGCTGCCTTAACAGTGATGATTTCCTTTTACAGTGCTCCAGCTGAGGCTGCAACAGAGGAGGACGAGAGAACAGCTCGTGGACCAAGGCATCATGCCACGTAAGATGGGCAGCGTCATTGTCGTCTCTGATGTGACATTACGATGCACATTTCCAAGAAGTGCCCTATCACGCCCCACTCTCAGTTGTGTCCATTTAATCAATATATAATTGCCACATTAATTTATAAGAAAAAATCGGATATCAACATTGCCAACCTAAGAGAATGATTTAGAATACCTTTTTCTTAAATGCCACTTACATGTTGGAATTGAATTTTATATTTATACAGACTTTACCGTTAAAGCTCTGTAATTATCTACCATCAGTTTTTATTTCAAGCTTTGACATTTGTTTATGTTTTTAAAAAATTGAAGTAATCAATCTACATAATGGATCCAAGATAAGCTAGACTTGCAAACGTAACAGGATAGAATTGTCCTGTGTTAACATACTGAATTCAGACTAATTCTCTTTGGTGCTGTGTGTTGTCGTCAGGTGCTGTCGAGTTGGTTCTGACTCATAGCAGCCCGTGTACGACACAACCAAACACTGCCCGTCCCACACCACCCTCACTCTCATTGCTGTGTTTCAGCCTTTTCTTGCAGCCGCTGTGACCGTCCATCGCGTTAAAGGTCTTCCTCACTTTCACTGACCCTCTTCTTTTCCAAACATAATGTCCTTCCCCAGGCTGGTCCCTCCTGATAACATCTCCAAAGTACGTGAGACAAAGTCTCACCATCCTTGCTTCTCGGGAGCATTCTGGCTGCACGTCTTCCAGGACAGATTTGTTTGTTCTTCTGGCAGTCTGTGATACGTCAGTATTCCTCACCGACACCATAGTTCCAAGGCATTAATTCTTCTGCAGTCTTCCTTATTCAGGGTCCAGCTTCTGCGTGTGTACGTGCATACCTGTCTGTCATCAGGCACAGCTTAGTCCTCAAAGTGACATCTCTGCTTCTGTAACACCTTAAAGGGTCTACAGCGGCAGATTTGCCCATTGCAGTACATCATCTCATTTTTCAACTGCTGCTTCCAGGGGCATTGACTGTGGACCCAAGTAAAATGAAATCCTTGAAAGCTTCATTATTTTCTCCATTTATTATGATGTTGCTTATTGGTCCAGTTGTAAGAATTTTTATTTTCTTGTGTTGAGGTGTAATCCATACTGAAAGCTATATAGTCTTTGATCTTCATTAGTAAGTGTTTCAAGTCCTCTTCACTTTCAGCAAGCAGGGTTGTGTCATCTGTGTATCACAGGTTGTTAATGAGCCTTCCTCCAGTCCTGATGCCACGTTTTTCTTTATGTAGTTCAGTTTCTTGGATTATTTGCTCAGCATCCAAATTGAATATGTATGGTGAAAGGATACATGACACACTCCTTTCTTGAGTTTAAATCACACAGAATCCGCTGGTTCTGTTCAAACTGTCGCCTCTGGGTCTATGTACAGGTTCCACATGAGCACCATTAAGTGTTCTGGAATTCCCATTCTTCACAATGTTACCCAGAATTTCTTATGATCCACACTGTAATATGCCTTGGCATAGTCAGTAAAACATAAATAAACATCTTTTTGGTGTTCTCTTCTTTCAGCCAAGATCCGTCTGACATCAGCAATGATATCTCTGATTCCCACATCCTCTTCTGAATCTGGTTTGAATTTCTGGCAGTTCCCTGCCCATGTTCTGCTACAGATGTTTTTCAGTTATTTTCAGTATAATTTTACTTGCATGTGATATTAGTGATATTGTTCGATAATTCCCACTCTGTTGGATCACCTTTCTGTGGCACAGGCACAAACATGGATCTGTTCCAGTGGGTTGGCCAGGAAGATAGATGGCTTCCAAATTTCTTGGCATAAACAAGCACCTCCAGCGCTGCATCAGTTTGTTGAAACATCTCGGTTGGTATTCTGTCAATTCCTGGAGCCTTGTTTCTGAACCATTCCTTCAGTGCAACTTAGACTTCTTCCTTCAGTACTATCAGTTCTTGACCATATGCTATCTCCTGAAATAGTTGAATGTTGACCAATTCTTTTTGGCACGGTGACCTGGTGTTCCTTTCCATCTTCCCTCGATGCATCCTGCATCATTCAGTAGTTTGCCCGTTGTTGTTGTTGTTGTTGTTGTTGTTGTTGTTGTTGTGTGCCGTCGAGTCAGACCCGACTCATAGCGACCCCTCCCTAGGTTTCCGAGGCAGTATCACTACGGAAGTAGATTGCCCAACCTTCCTTCAATATTGCAACTCAAGGCTTGAATTTTTTTCTTCAGTTCTTTCAGCTTGAGAACTGCCAAGAATGTTCTTCCCTTTTGATTTTGTAACTCCAGGTCTTTGCACACTTCATCTTAATACTTTACTTTGTCTTCTCAGCTCACCCTTTGATATGTCCTGTTCAACTCTTTTACTTCATCATTTCTTCCGTTCACTTTAGCTATTCTGTGTGGAAAGCAAGTTTCAGAGTCTCTTCTCACATCCGTTTTTGTCTGTTCTTCTTTCCTGTCTTTTTAATGACCTTTTTGCTTTCTTTATGTAATGTCCTTTATGTTATCCCACAATGCATCTGATCTTCAGTCACTAGTATTCAGAGCATTGAATCTATTCTTGAAATGGTCTCTAAATTCAGGTGGGATATACTCAGGGCCATACTTTGGCTCTCTTGAGCGTGTTTTAATTTTCTTCAGCTTCAACTCAGACTGGCATGAGAGCAATTAATGCTCTGTTCTGCATACAGCCCAGCCTTGTTCTGACTGATGATACTGATCTTCTCCATTGTCTTTTTCCACAAATGTAGTCCATTTGATTTCTGTGCATTCCATCTGGCAGAGCCCATGTGTATTGTCAACATTTCTGCTGTTGACAGAGGTATTTCCAATGACTAGGTCATTGGTCTTTAAAAATTGCAGCATTCAATCTCTGATGTTTCTGTCACCAGCGCTGTGTTTTCTAACCACGGCTCCTTCTTTGTTGCCACCCTTCACATTGCAGTCACCAGTAATTATCAGTGCATCTTGAGTGCATGTTTGATCTATTTCAGATGCAGAAGTTAATAGAAATCTTGAGTTTCTTCATCTTTGGCCTCAGTGGTTGGTGCATAAATTTGAATATTGTCCTATTAACTAGTCTTCCTTGTAGGCATATGGATATTATCCTATCACAGACACATTGTAATCCAGGATCCATCTCGAAATGTTCTTTTTGATGATGAATGTGACGCCATTCCTCTTTAATTTGTCATTTCTGGCACAGTAGACCATTTGATTGTCCAAATCAAAACAGCCAGTATCAGTCCATTTCTGCTCACTAATTCCTAGGATATCAATCTTTATGCATTCCAGTTCATTTTTGCTGACTTCCAATTTTCCTAGATTCATACTTTGTACATTCCACATTCCTGTTGTTACTGAAGTCATACCACATCAGCAAACGTAGGTCCCACAAGCTTCACTCCATCTATGTCATTGAGGTCGGCTCTGCCTTGAGGAGGCAGCTCTTCCCCAGTTGTATCTTGAGTGCCTTCTAACCTGAGAGGCTCATCTTCCGGCACTGTATCAGACAGTATTCCACTGCTGTTTGTAAGGTTTTCACTGGCCAGTTTTCTCAGAAGTCGGTCTCCAGGCCCACCCTTCCTAGTCTGCCTCAGTTTGGAAGCGCTGCTGAAGCCTGTCCGCCCCGGGCCACGCTGCTGGCGCGTGAGGTACCAGTGGCACAGCCTCCACCACCACAGCAGCACGGCCTGAGCTGGGCTCTTGGAAGTCTTTGCAAGGCCTTAGGCACCACAGCTGGGAATTGTGCTGATCAAGAGCTGATTGGTCAAAGCTTGCAGGTGACAGCCCTAGGAGCCCTGGTCCTGTGTCCCATCCAGGCCATGTGACTCCCCATGGTTATCAGGCAGGTGGACACACTGACATACACACGGAATTTCATAGAGATACTTGGTAGAAATACGGTAGGGTGAACACTGCTTACTCTCACTCTGGGATTCTGAAATATTTAAGGGACTAGCAGTTAACATACAGAAGATCGGCCTGGTCTTTAAAATGATGTGCATTATGGTCCATAACAGAAAGAGAACGAGCCTTTCAAATTCCAAATTCTAGATTTAAGTCGCTCTTTGACCCCCATTTAATTATATGACGTCAACAATTTATTTAAATTCTTTTAGCCTTTCAGCTGTACTGACCCAAGTGGCCAAAAGTTGGCAGTCAAGTCCACCAGAGGCGCGTTGGAAGACAGGCTTGACGGTCTGCTTCCAGAAGACCACGGCTGCC